AAAAAAAAAAAAAAAAGAATCAATATGGTTGCATTTTATTTTTTAACTTGTTCTTGCAAGAAATTTCCCTGTATAAAAATAGGTTTCTTACTCTGTGTTGCCTTGTTTTTTCTTTAGTTGATGGGTATTGACGTTGACCCGAAATATGGAGGTACAGGAGCTTCATTTTTTTCCACTGTGCTCGTGATAGAGGAGTTAGCCAAAGTGGATGCATCTGTGGCTGTCCTTTGTGAGATCCAGAACACACTAATTAACGCACTGATTATAAAATTTGGAACAGAAGAACAAAAGGCCACCTATTTGCCTCAGCTCACTACAGAAAAAGTGAGTTGAGATGAATTGTTGATCTAATGGATCTAATCATTAGTAATTTTACAATATTTTCAGGAAAAAAGTAGCTGCAATGTTGACTTTACTATCCAAGACTACAACACATTATCATTAATTCAAGCAACACTCAGTAAATTAATGCTACTGAAAAAGTACACTCTGCCTCTTATTTGCCACTTGGAAATTTGGAAAATAATCATCAGATAATAAAATTGTTTCTTTTTGTCCCAATTATATTTGCTAATACCTTTGCTGATGGTTTCATTTACATTGTGATATCTTTCTACAATAATAATTAAGATCAATTTTAATTAGTATGTGCTCATATTTTTGGAAAATAATATTTTCAAAACTATTACTATTTTCATAAACGTAGGCTTTTTTGAAAAGCAGCTAGAGATTTGATTTAGAAATGTCCATTTTGCCATAAGTATTTGTTATGCAGAGTATGAATACTGTTATTAATTTGGACGTTTTTTTCTCCCATATGTAGATAGGAAGTTTCTGCCTTTCGGAGGCTGGAGCAGGTAGTGACTCATTTGCTTTGAAGACCAGAGCTGATAAAAAGGGCAATTCTTATGTCCTCAATGGGTCAAAGTTGTGGATCAGCAGTGCTGAGTATGCAGGGCTCTTTCTGGTGATGGCGAATGTAGACCCTACCATTGTAAGTTTGAAAATGAAATTTCTTTCTTTTTCCCTACTTCTTTTCTTTTTCCTTATCTTTTCCTCCTTCTATTTCCTTTTCAGGACTTCATCTTAAATTCTCTACTCTTCTCAGTACTGAAAATGTCAGATATGAGGTGGCATTTTTTTCACTTTAAGTATTAATCTCCTAAAATAAATATTGTTGACACAATTATTAGAATTGGCCCACCAAATCATGGGTACATGGATTCAACCAACTCCAGATTGAAAATATTTGGTTGAAAAAAACAAATTCTACAAAGTTCCAAAAAGTAAAATTTGAATTTGCTTTGTGCCCAGTACCATGTTGAATCCACCTGAATAAAGTGATGTGCATGCATTATATTAGGTATCAAATAATCTAGAGATGACTGAGCATCTACAGGAGCATATGTATAGGTTATATGCAAATATTACATCATTTTATGTAAGGTACTTGAGCACTGTCAGATTTTGGTATCCATGGTTGGGGTTTGGGTCCTGGAACTACTCCCCCACAGAGATGGAGGTATAACTGTTTGTGGAGAACCAATTATTACTTATCTCCTAATGTATTATATAGAAAAATAATCTTTTTTTTTTTTTTTTGCTATGGAGTCTCGCTCTATCTCCCAGGCCGGAGTGCAGTGGTGCGATCTCACCTCACTGCAACCTCCACCTCCTGAGTTCAAGCAATTCTCCTGCCTCAACCTCCCAAGTAGCTGAGACTATAGGTGTGCACCACCATGCCCAGCTAATTTTTGCATTTTTGTAGAGACAGGGTTTCACCACGTTTGCCAGGCTGGCCTTGAACTCCAGATGTTAGGTGATCTGCCCACCTCAACCTCCCAAGGTGCTAGGATCATAGGCGTGAACCACTGCACTTGGCCCTAATCTTTAATTTTTTTGAATTTCCAATTTTCTGTTTAGTAATGAAGAATTTAAGTATCTATTTAGTACATTTATTTTTAAGAATATTTTATTCTTAGTTGGAAAATGGACATTTCATTTGGAAAATAGACATATAGCAAAATAATAAATATATATTTTTTTACCAGTAAATGCAGTATTTTCACTAATGTAACAATTGAATTAAATTGCTAAAACTTTTTTTTTTCCAAGATGGAGTTTCACTCTAGTTGCCCAGGAGTGCAGTGGCGTGATCTCAGCTCACTGCAAACTCCGCCTCCTGGGTTCAAGCGATTCTCCTGCCTCAGTCTCCCAAGTAGCCGGGATTACAGGTGCCTGCCACCACACCCAGCTAATTTTTGTATTTTTAGTAGAGACGGCAATTCACCATGTTGGCCAGGCTGGTCTTGAACCCCTGACCTCAGGTAATCCACCTGCCTTGACCTCCCAAAGTGCTGGGATTATAGGCATGAGCCACCACACCTGGCTTAAAACTTTATATAGTAAAATTAAATTAAGAACATGGCATTCTCGTGATCATGTCATTGTGTAATAATAATTTTAATATTTATAATGGTTTCTGAAAAAGTGAAAGAAATGGTAAGGTTCTATAGTTTGGATCTAGTGTCCTCCAATTACTCTCATTTCATAATGCCCATGTTGCAATTCTGAGTCTGTTAGTAGTTATTATTAAAGTCCATTTTTAGTTTTCTTTTTACTTGAACTCTTTAGAAACAAGGCGTTTTATAAATCCAAGTGGTAATAGCATTTTAAATCTTCTTTTTAGGGACATAAGGGAATTACCTGCTTCTTAGTAGATCGCGATACTCCAGGCCTTCATATAGGAAAACCCGAAAACAAATTGGGGCTCAGAGCTTCTTCCACCTGTCCATTAACATTCGAAAATGTCACGGTGGGTATCTTAGACCAATCAGTAAAAGACTGATGTGAAATAAGCCTTGCATGGAACTACAGGAGGTGTGCAAGACAGGTGTCATATATTAAGTGGCCATAAGCACACATGGGAGAGTATTTTGTAAAACCCTGAACATCTTTAGTCATGATCAAATAAATGTACTTCTCACAAAAACGGAAACCTTTCTGCCCAGAAGCTGTCCTGGGGAGCAAGTGTCAAGAATTTGTCCCATTTATGTTTTATAACTTAGGTACTTCTGACCATGTATACTTAATAAGTTTGAGACTTGTGAACCAAACAGGGTTGCAGAGGAGGAAGTCTGGTGTCAGTGCACCAAAGGCCACAAGATGGGGGTGTTGCTCAGTGAGCAGAAACAGCCAGGCTGTTAAATGTGACTGGCAGAAGATCACGGATGCTAGTGCTGGTGCTGTAGAACTCTCCGTAGGTGGGGCAGATGGTGGTCGGTTTTCCGTCGCGTGTCACAGACCTTGATCTTTTTTTGCACGACTATGGGGAGCAAGGGGGAGGATGCCTTTACAGATGTCGTTTGGGCCTCACTACCTCACGCCAGCTGTTCCCTCATCCCTACGTTCCCTTTCCTTTCTTCACTCTCCCTACTCTCTCCCCCAACTTCCAATATTATAAAACTAAGGATAGTTTTTTATTATTCCTAATTCTTAATTTTTTAAAACTATGAATAAGCGTTTTAGTTTGTTTCTTCTGTCTTCCTCTTTCTCTTTCTTGAGCATACACATGTGTACACACATATGCACACATATATACCCCACAGTTGATTTTTATGAGGATGAATGGTCTCAACAGCCAAAAGGCTTACTACACTTGTTTTTGCAAGTATTTGCATATTTTTGTAGTCCCTAATATGTTATCTCACGCTGTAGCCTACAGATAAGAATTGGAGGGAAAAGTATTAATTTATGTTATTGATGAATTCTATGAGATTCCCTTACTGTAGATTCACTCACCCATTCAATAACCTATACAGGGCTCTGGAGAATGCAATCATGAACAGCATGGACTTGAGTCCTTTTCCTCAGAGAGTTGAGGGAAAAAACAGAATGGAGAGAGACACATATGCCAGCAAGTACTGTGAGAGGGCTAGCACATGAATTGAGAGTCTATACACACTTAAAAATATATAATCAAAATGAATCATGTAAAATGAAATTGAGAAATAAGCGCACATTTGTATTTTCAGGTTCCAGAAACCAATGTCTTGGGACAAATTGGACATGGCTATCAGTATGCCGCAGGGGGTCTTAATGAAGGTAGGATAGGAATTGCTGCACAGGTAAGTCAAATTTAAACTCTTCCATGATGTGAATCAATTAAAATGTGAAAAGAAAAAAAATGCAATGAGCCCAGTGAATATTAGGAAGCTTGTGGACACAAGATGGCACCATTCCCTTAGATGAGGGACAGGATGGCTTCTGATTATTTCTTTCAAATTCCCTTTTGGTCAATTATGTAAGTGTACAGAGAATCAAACAATGGCTTGGTGGTAACAGTGTTTCTGCTTTGAGAACATTAAAGTAGTATCTCATATCTGAACCAATAACTTTAAAAATGTATTATAAATTAAATATGGCATTTTTTTAAAAATCAACTTTCTAAATCATGAAATTCATTCTGGAAGGGATTTTTTACGTTAAGAATAAATAATATTCATTCCACTTTGTAGTAAGGATCTCTTATCTATAGTTAATAAAAGATTTGTTGCTTAGTGTTTTGCCTGTGAAAACTGGACAATATTTTTTGTGGTACATGAAATGAAATAGCCACAATTAAGTAGGGATATAAAAGGAGAACTATTCAAATTTTTTAACCAAATTTGCCTTTTATAATGCATATTGCATTTTTCCATTACGTGATATCAGTTATTTTCCAGATTAACAAAATGAAAAAGGCCTTTGGCTTTACTATAGATGATATCATTTTTGTAGAGTATATTTTTAATCAGTGATTATACAAAACTCAAGAACTACAGCTTTTCAATTTTGAAGATGTTAAATATATATTAGCTATTGCAATAAATAATAGATGATTACTCTAAATTTTTTTCTGCTGGTTACATTGCTAACTATTCTTGGATCAAAACTTAGTCTGGTTTTCCTACAATGCTAGACATTATGTCACTAAAGAGTGTTGTTTTATCAGTTCTTTTAAAAGTTTTTCTGTGATTTAACTTAGTTAGATATGGCATTAAAAACTACAATACTAGATCTCATTTTTTTCAGACATATAGGTAATATAGATGTTCTGGCAATAAAATACACGGACTGGGCCTCAGTCTAATTATTCCAACTTATCTAATAACCTAATTAAAAGTTAAGGTCAGGTAGTTACTCTCTCAGTGGATGCTTTGAGAGGAACAGGCACGTGGCGTGTAACATAGTGAACTGAAGGCATCTGTCCTCAAAACCTTGTGGGCAGAGAGAATTCAGTTTTTCACTGTTTGTAATGGATACCTTCTGCTGAGGTAGAAAAGCCCATTTTGATGGACAACTGATCATTTCAGCCTTCATGTTGATATAGGGTATTATTCACGTACAAATTTTAGCTGTAAATATAGTGACATCATCTTATCTTACAGCCGAGAGTGCAGTGATGCCTCATTTGAATTTGGGGTTTGTGGTTTTCTTGTGCCTTTAATTTTTAACATATTATTCTGTTCTCGAAAGAGTTCAAAATAAAAGACTAAAAGAAAAAGTAAATAAATACTAATGAAATATTGATAAGTTTGCTGGGCATTTCCCCCAAAAGCTTTAGCTATGATTGTCTAAAACCAGAATTTGACATAATTAGATAGTGATTTAATGACTATCTAATGTTGAAATATAGAAACAATTTCTAAGCTTCAATCATAATAGATATGAAGGTTGGTTGGCAATGAGATGGTTCATCTAAAATTGTCACCATGTCCTGTGGAAATTGAAGGGTGTAAATTAGCATTTTTACTGGATGCTTTCTATCCATTGTTGTCAACCCCAGCTGTGTATTAAGTCACCTAAGGAGTTTTACAAAGTTGAGGTTTAGCTCACACTCCTCCACCCACTGTACTCACAAGATTTGGATTCAGTCATTAGGCCTAGGTATCAGTATTTTTTTTAATCAAGTTCACCAAATGATTCTATGGTGCAGCTAGGGTTAAGAAACACTGATCTCTTATGTTCTAATGCCCTTTCCACTGAAGCTCTTATTAATCCTACTCATATACAAAATAGACAGGAAAGTAGAAGGTTAAGAAGTGACCTTCCACATTTTACTTCTAGAACTGGAGGGAGTTCCTCTATAGTCTTCAAGGCCAGTTCTGAGCAAAACGTCTATGGCTCATTTTATACCTGGAGAATCAGAGCTTAAAGAAGATTCCTAAAAAGTAGTCTGGTTTTGTGAACACAGCCTTGCTGGGAGACTTACTTCTGCTAGAATGAAGTATACTCATATTCATATGAAGTCACTCCAAACTTTCTCCCAATTATTGGAAGTTCAGTTCTACAAATGCAGTAGGTGAAGATGTGTTATGAACACACACCTTACCACCTCAGGATCTCTAGTTCTTCCCCTACCCCGACCATTCAATTTATGTTTAGAAAAAATTTATAACTTGGATCATTAAACTTGTAACAAAATAAGAAATTCTGATTTTTTTTTTTTTTAACAGATGCTGGGACTGGCACAAGGATGTTTTGACTACACTATTCCATATATTAAAGAAAGGATACAATTTGGCAAAAGACTATTTGATTTTCAGGTATATAATTATTAGGGTCTTTCTGCTGCCCTGGACTCCAGCTTCCTGTTAATAAAGGGCTGTGTTGAAAGCCATGGAGGGACTCCCATCAGTGGGATTTTAATGGGAGAGGGGTAAAGGAGGAAGGAATTAGTCTCAGGGAGTGTACTTGTGAATACCTTGATCTTTTCCAAAGGCAGAGCAGTAGCCCTTGAGGCCCAGCTGTAGTGTGATTCAGGATATCTTGGTGAGCACTATGGAGCTCCTCACTGCTTCAGAAGCTCAGGGTAGGGGGTCTGGAGTCAGACTTCCTGGATTCAGATCTGGTTCTTTCACTTACTAGCTTTAGGCCTTAGGCAAGTGACCTCATTCTACCCTTAAGCTGCCTCATCTATAAAATAAAGATATAACTACTTACTTAACCTGTTTTAAATGAGGTATGTGTAAAGTGTTTCACACATTGCATGGGTATAACAGGTGCTCAGTAAATGGTAACACTTGCTACCATTAACTTCTGTTTGGACCAGAACCATGTGGTAATCCTCATAGGACTGCACTTTTGACACCTATGTCTCACGGAAGATACACTTTGCTGCATTAAATAGAAATGAGGTGCACTTGGCCAAGCACTTGGGTAATACTGGTTTGGTCCAGTGCCACAGCTTTTCAGAGCTTCCCAGGCAATCTGGAGATTGCTTGGTGGCAACATTATCCTTCTTGCCCTTGTTGAGGTCTTGCCAGTGTGAGGGCAGCCCGGAGTGGCAGCTTACCAAACCTTTTAGGCAAGCTGAAGGCAGGTCACATAAAATTCCAGAATAATTACTTTACATGATTGCAAAACCTCCCCTTAAGCAGCTCCAGGCTCCAAGTGCAATCCATCTCTGTTATGCTGCATTGTCTTCAGGTTTATAATAATGACTAGGCATCCTATGAGCACACTCAAGATTGCACGCGTATAGAGATACTAGGCTGTGGACATGCACAGTCAGTTCAAGAAAGAGAACTGAGTATGGCAGGCCTGGCCGGTGCCTGCTGTAGCTCACGCTGTCATCCTCACCTATGCCTAGGAACCTGAAACACATGGAGACTGAGTTCCCAAGGTTGTGCAGCTAATATGGTGCCAAAAGTAGAGGGTTTTTTGGTTTTGGCTTCTAGTCGAATTTTCATTATACTAGAGTAATTTCTCAGAGCCAGCTACCACAAAGATTGCAGTGAAAGAGACAGAATGTAAAGGTTGTTTTGAAGGGAGGCTTTTGATCTTCTTTATGTACAGGAAACTATGTTCTCGTGCGTATAGATAGATTGAAGGGGTCAGGTATACTAGCAGGCATAATCATAATGACATCTTTAGAGATGCCTATTATGGGTAGTTAAAAGAACACTTAGATTTTTTTTATTTTTATTTTTTAAATTTTGTGAGTACACAGGGAACCACAAAAATTTATGGGGTACATGAGATGTTCTGATAGGGACATGCTATGTGAAATAAGCATATCAAGAAGAAGAAATTTTGATCTTAAAAATCAACATTATTAGCTGTATAATGCTTTGATTAAAGTTAGCAGAGTTTTTTTCTAACTATATTATCTCGTGTTTGCTTTGCATGCATTTGTTCATATCTTTCTGACCTCGAGACCACATGGCCCTTGAGGGTAAAGACCAGCCGATTCATCCTTATTAGTTTCAATTGTTTATTTAGTATAGATTTATTTATTTATTTATTTATTTATTTATTTTGAGATGGAGTTTCGCTCTTGTTACCCAGGCTGGAGTGCAATGGCGCGATCTCGGCTCACCGCAACCTCCGCTTCCTGGGTTCAAGCAATTCTCCTGCCTCAGCCTCCCGAGTAGCTGGGACTACAGGCATGCACCACCATGCCCAGCTAATTTTTGTATTTTTGGTAGAGACGGGGTTTCACCATGTTGACCAGGACGATCTCGATCTCTTGACCTCGTGATCCACCCGCCTCGGCCTCCCAAAGTGCTGGGATTATAGGCGTGAGCCACCGCGCCTGGCCTAGTATAGATTTATTTAGCATGTTCTCTATGCCAGGCCTTGTGTTCACAATGTAGTTAGGGAACAAGTATTCAGCAGTGGTGAGTTCTTATAGAACAGTAGGCATGCCTCAGTCACTTTCCTGCCTCTCACAGTACTTAAGGTGGCAAATGGAACAGACAGCATGGATAGTGACTGTAAGTTTCATTGAACTGAGTGTATTTTGCAAAAATAATCAGAATTCTGAGTTCCACATAAAGAGTCAAATTTCTAAAACCGTGATACTGGTGTAGAAACAGACAAATTCACTGATGGAACAAAACAGAAAAGCCAGTAATAGACTTATGCATGTATGCAGATTTGATGGATGATAGAGATGGCATTACAGATCACTGAGTGGGAATATTCTTTCTATACGAAAAAATAATGAAACTGTATTCCTACCTCACATCATACACAGAAAATTGATGTCAGATGTAAAGACATAATGTTAAAAGCAAAACTTTAAAGATTTTAGGACAAAACAGCGAATATCTTTATAACCTCATGGTAGGAAATGTTCTTGTAAACAGACACAAAAAGGACTAGTCCTAAAGATAAGATTGGTAAGTTTTTTTCCTTGAAAGATGCCATAAAGTGAAAGATAAATCACAGAGGAGAAGATATTAACTCTGCACATAGTTTTATGGGTGTTCAACTTACTATTATGCTTCATAGCCTACAGAGATGGAGCATCGTCTTTTTTTTGTACATACAAAATTGTTGTGTGTATCACCTATTTCAGAAAGAGAAAGAGAAGAATCTGTAGGGTATTAACAAACAGTGCTGTTTTTGTCCAACTTGTCCCTCCCTTTTGTTTAGGAAAGGCCATTCCTGGGATTTGTGTGTGATTGCCTTAATCAAGGTTCACTGTCGTAATATTCATCACATATTATTATAATTATTTAATTTGTCTGTTCTCCCTGCTGGACTATATATTATAAATCATGAGAATAAGGAAATCTGGCTGTAATGTTCAGGTGCTGCCTCCGTCGCTCAGGGCAATCTCAGAGGTGCCCAATAACTATCTGGGTGGATGGATAGATTGGGCATGAGAAACATTTCAGTTTGTAATAAACATCTGTGCCTGTTATTTCCAGGAAATTATTTATAAATGTTAATGTTTGTATTCTGGCTCACTAAGTTAACTGTTGTTTCTTTCATTGACAAACATTTAGTATGGACCTAATCACCCTCTAAAATTTCAGGGTGGTAGTAATTGGTGCTTCAAATATTTTTCATTGCTTCGTAGCTAACATCTTTTAATGCCTGGAAGCCATATACAAAATGAAAATTTTCTTAATTCAAGCAAATAAAGAATATATTTGAAGTTTTGCTGTGGTAGGATTTCACTTAAGCCAAATTTTCGTCAAAAAAGAGTTGAAATCATTATTAAATATAACAGTCAAGTTTTTAAACCTAACTTTGTGATATTTACTGTTTAAATCTTGACAATCATGAAGAATGACGTGAACTTTGAAGTTTTTCTAGGAAAAGAGGATTTAACCATACTTACAGTGTCACATTTCATTTTAGATTACAAATTTTAAAGTATTTAAGAGACGTGAATGTGAATTTCCTTTAGGGTATGTTTGGAATCTGTCAGTGTTGTGTAGCTAGGCAGGACTTTGCGGTTGAGGTGCTTTTTTGAAATCATAATTCTCTAACTTGGGCCTTACTGTTACAGGGCCTCCAACACCAAGTGGCTCACATGGCCACCCAGCTGGAAGCTGCAAGATTACTAACATACAACGCTGCTAGGCTTGTAGAAGCTGGAAGGCCATTCATAAAAGAAGCATCAATGGCCAAATACTATGCATCAGAGGTAAAAAAAAAAAAAAAGAAAAGAAAAAGTAGTTCAGCCTCCCTTTTTTTCAGATATATAATTATTAACCTTTTCTCCTGGGAATGTTAAGTGTACTTTGGTTGTTTTTCAAGTTAAGATAGCATGGACTTTTATTTCTTATAATAGAAAAGCAAAACTGCTACAGAAAAACAGTTTATTTCTGTGGGGTCTCAATGTCTTGTGAGAACCATGGGTGTTGTGCCCATGGTTTCAAGTTCTCGCAAAGTGAATGCCGTGGAAGATGATAGGTTCATCATATGAACAAATCAGATTTAAAACCCCAAGAAAAGATTGTCTATGTCTCTAAAACTTTCTGCTCAGACGTCAGCTTTCTATAGCTAACACATTAGACTGTGGCTAGAGAATTTAGCCAAATCATTGGGCAGCTGTTTCCCAGCCTCAGTGGAATCATATTCATTCCACGGCTTTAAATTCTCATTTAACCTCCCCAGCCTGTAAATTTAAATCTCCTGCCTCAACGTCTTTCTGAATTCCAGACTAACAAGTCCAACTTTTCTGCTTTACCATCAAAACCTGAGTGTCATCTTGACACCCTGCTTTCCCTCATCCCCCACACTGAATCCGGCATCATTTCCTGTGAATTCTACCCCCAAAAGATTTCCTCAATGGTGTATTTGTCTTCCTCCCCATTGCCAGCTCTGTGCTGCGGTCACCTCGCTGCTCTTCTGGTCCCTGGTACTTCCTCCCATTCAGCCTCTCTCCTTTTTCAAAGTGTCACCTTCCAGCTTTAAACCCTTCGGTGGCTTCTCACAACAAATGGAACTCTATCCATATTAGATTCCAATTGCTGCTGTAACAAATTACCATAAAGTCAGTGACCTAAAACAATGCAATTCCATTTTCTCTCACTTCTGGAGGGCAGAAATCTGAATTGGGTCTCACTGGAATACAGCAAAGGCGTCGGAGGGACTGCCTTTCTGCGGTTCTGGGGGACAGTTGTTTCCAGCTTCTAGGGGCTGCTCACATTCCTTGACTCTTAGCCCCTTCCTCTATCTTCAAAGCCATCAATATGGCACATTCAGATCTCTCTCAGACTCTGCTTCCTGTCTCCGTGGTCCCATCACCTTCCATGACTAACTCTCTTGCCTCCTCCTTTTCCTTACAAGGACTCCTGTGATTATATTATAGCCACCCAGATAATCCAGGGTAATCTCCCCCTCTCACGTCCATACCCACATCTGCAGAGTCCCTATTGCCATGGAAGGCAGCATATTCACAGCTCTGAGGGCTAGGATGTGGACATCCTTGAGGGGCCATTCTACAGGATCTCTTGCCCCTCCATTCTCTTTTCACACCTTACCCCTATCCCAGCCCACTGGCTGTCTCAAGGGCTGGAAGTTGAAGAGTTCATTCTCCCCTTAGAGCCTTTCCACATGTTGGTCCTCTGCTTGAAATATCCCCTAGCTCGTCCTTTAGGTCTCAGCTACACCATAATTTCCTCCACGATTCTGCCATTGTCACCACCTCAGCTTCCTAGCAAGCTCTTTTGCCCCAGGCAGTTCATCAGTTCCTGTGCTGGTTGGTTCCACTGGGCCCCACAGGGCAATGACTGTCCGCCCCCACCATTGTATCGTATACTCAGTGGCCGGCAGAGTTTTCGATACAAAGGAGGCTCTCAATAAACATTTCCTGAATAAATGATATCTCTCAGCAAGCAGATTCATGTGAACCATGATCTAATTTCTTAAGAAAATGGGGATTTTGTGAATTAATAGAATGTTTTACAGAAATGGTATGAGAATGGGACGGAAGAGACAATGCTAGTTTATAAAATAACTTCAGTCCTTCCAACGCCACTAACAGTGAATCCATGTTGCTGAAAATGTTCCCCAGAAGTATTTATCATGTATACTTTAAGTGGTTTCAGTGTGTGATTTGTGCTTGCTTTTGGTAGATTGCAGGACAAGTAACGAGTAAATGTATCGAGTGGATGGGGGGAGTCGGCTACTCCAAAGATTACCCTGTGGAAAAATACTTCCGAGATGCAAAGATCGGTAAGTAGATTTTTTTTTTATATTTTATTTTGTTTTATTTGCCTCTGTAGGTGTTTTGGCTATTTTATTTGCCAATTTGATACTGCTAGTGCCTAGGCAAAAGCAATTTTAATTTATTCAGTATATGTGTATTGGGTCTCTTTATGTGACTGGGCTTTTTTCCTTATCTCATCCTTCAAAAAAAAATTGATTGATTACATTTTTAAAAAATATCAAATTGCCTTTTTAAATGCCTCAACAGGCTTTTTAGTAAACTGCCACAAATAACAGTTTGAGCTTATGCATCACTTGTTGAAGAGTCAAAATCTTCAATTTTTGATTAAACTTTAGTCAATTTAATACTGATCCTGGACATCTAGAAACCAAATGGAAAATGATTATCTCTTAGTCAAAATCACTCTGTGAAGTAGTACCATATTCAGGGGACATCAAGTGTTGTAACTAGTAACTATAGCAAGCACAGAGGTGATGTTTATAGAGCTATTTCTTGTGTTAACCACAGGCCAGCTCCTCATTGTTCCTTCTGCTTCCTTTTGCTTAAGGTACGATATATGAAGGAGCTTCCAACATCCAGTTGAACACCATTGCAAAGCACATCAATGCAGAATACTGATGTCCATGAGAGTGGGATCCCTCCCCGGTGTCACTACTGTAAAATTTCAGACTGTTGTTCCTTGTTAGGAGTATCTGCCTTGTATGGGAATAAACTTCCACAGTGTTGATGGATTTTATTGAAGCCCTTAGTCAGGGTTCTGGGGGTTGACCTTTTTGTTTTTTTCTTTTCAGGCTGCTTAACTTAGGCATGGAGATCCGCTTTTAAACTTGGGAAATACACACCTATATTTTTTCCAAAACTGTTTTTAAAGTTCTATACACATGTATTTTTCTTAATTTGAGACAGAGTCTCACTCTGTCACCCAGGTTAGAGCACAGTAGTGCCATCTCAGCTCACTGCAGCCTCGACTTCCTGGGTTTCAGTGATCCTTATGCTTCATCCTCTCAAGTAGCTGGAACAAGGGTGTACATCAGCATGCCTGGCTAATTTTTGTGTTTTTAGTAGAGATGGAGTTTCACCATATTGCCTAGTCTGGTCTAGAACTCCTGGCTTCAAGGGATCACCCACCTTGGCCTCCCAAAGTTCTAGGATTACAGGCATGAGCCACTGCGCCTGGCCTGATATTTATATTATCATTCTAGTTTCAGAGTATACAGAAATTTCATTCTACCATTTGGAAAAATAAAGGGATCTGAAGTACAACATTACTTAAGAGAAATAGTTACTTTATATTCCTATTAAATCTTAATCTTGTGGCATCAGAGAAATATTTGTTATATAGTAGGAAATGTTTATCCAGCACTTTATAGATTTAACTCTAAGTTGCAAGTGAGGTCAAAACTGATAAAAATTTATTTTGAAAAATCTAAAAATTCTGATTTTAAATATGAGAATCAATAGAAAATAAGGTTATAATTTTTTAGGTCATATAATTGAAGAAAATATTGTTTTAACAATATAAAGCAATATGACTTATTACTATAATTAACCTATGTAAAAGATACATTTCATGATGGTTTCAGTAGGTCATTTTAAAAACTAATCTCTGCATTAGCTTTCAAGTATATGGTTTAAGTAATTGGTTTAATAATCAGAAAATATTCAATACCTTGTTGCAATATTTATTCTGTGCACTATTTTTCAGTTGACCATGTCTGTATTTTAATTGAATACTGTTTCTTCAGACATGGTTATTGGACTTTATCCTGAATAATAATTCAGAAATTGGGCTTTGGTTCAGTGATTCTCAAGAGAAAGATCTCTTGCCCATTAAGAAGTGTATGAAAATTTCATAAGGAATGAGGAAGAGAAGGGGGCTGTAGAGTTTGAAAAAGCATATTCAATATTAAAATAATTTTATACTTGGGAAGGCAAAATTAATCTATCGTTTTGTAATATAGGTAATAAACAGGCAAAATGCAATAAAATATACAGCTGGTTGTATTAGTCTGTTTTCACACTGCTGATAAAGTCATACCCAAGACTGGGAAGAAAAAGAGGTTTAATTGGACTTACAGTTCCACATGGCTGGGGAGGTCTCTGAATCATGGCAGAGGTGAAAGGCACTTCTTACATGGTGGTGGCAAGAGAAAATGAAGAATAGGCAAAAGTGGAAACCACTGATAAACCCATCAGATCTCGTGAGACTTACTATCATGAGAATAGCATGGGAAAGACCTGCCCTATGATTCAATGTCCTCCACCTGGGTCCCTCCCACAACACTTGGGAATTCCGGGAGATACAATTCAAGTTGCGATTTCCATGGGAACACAACCAAATCATATAACTGGTGATACCACTGCTTCAGTATTAGGGATTCTCAGCCAGAAGAGACCCCTCTGTGGTACAGCTCCTGAGTCCCCTCAGGAGGAAGGTGGACAACAGAGAAATGAGAGTTTTGATATTTCTGAAAGAGGAACACCAGTTAGAGATGAAAAATGTTCCAAGGCTCATGTAGTTGCTTTAAGCAGTCATTACTGTTAAATGAGAAACATTTTAGTACTTTAATGAAAGGACAATGTTTATTTTTTTAAAAACTGACATTTCCAGAGTAATTTTGCTTTGCACATTCATGTTTTTTGAATTGGACTAATTTCTATAATGCAAATCAGAGTTAAATATTCAAAATTGTGTAACTGCAATTGACATTAAAATACTAGGAAGAAACACAGACCTTGAATCCAGAGAGATAAAGTCTACTTGCTTTCAAATGGAGAGATGATGAAAACCCACTCATTCAGTCTTTCCGAATAAAAACACAGTAATCTGATAAGAGTAGGAGATGGATTAAATGCCCTACAGGGACCTCAGGCATCTTTAATTTTTGTGATTATGCGAAAGAGGTGGACTTTACAGGTAATGGAGCAGAAGCCAACATTAGTAAAAAGAATCCTAACTTCTTTCCATAGAATTAGAAACGTGAAAATACAATAAACCTCTTGTTCAAATTAGCAGCATCAGAGAGCGTCCCATTTGCATCTGGACATTGAATTTATATTTATTGATCGAGTTCTAATTTGTATATATATTTTGTGCATATTCACAAATAACAGTTAAAATTAATTATATTATGTATTATAGTTAATATATGTACCTACCTTCTTCCGTTAGTGAATCAGTGAATGGTAAAACATGTTATTTTGTCATTTTTCCAAAGAGGATGTTGTGGGTTTTCCCTGTAGTTCTTCCATTATAGCTTTTCTTTTGATAACCATGACTTCAGGAGCTTAAAAAACTATCTATCTTGCGTTTGTGCCTGGTGGAGAACCAGCCATTAACCTCCTGCAGGCTGCCATCATTGTTAATTTGACAATTGGCCTGTCGTGGGGCTCAGAAAGTAAAGAACTGTTTGAGCAGAAGTGTGTGGGCTGTACTGGATTCCACCCAACTGCCAAGTTAGTATTGTTAGAGATTTCATTTTACAACACAAAAATGAACCCGTCAAAGATTTTAAAATCATGGAAAGTTAAACCTAGAAAGACCTTAGAGAACCAGCCAGCCAACTCTCTCATTTTAAAAACGAAGGATTCATAGCACAGATTACTTGCCCAAGATTATCGAGGAACAAAGATAAGAATCCAAATATACTTGGGGACAAGAATTAGTCCCCAAATTCAGTATTCTTCCTAGTATTAAACATTGCCCCTTTCAGCCGGGCGCGGTGGCTCAAGCCTGTAATCCCAGCACTTTGGGAGGCGGAGGCGGGTGGATCATGAGGTCAAGAGATCGAGACCATCCTGGTCAACATGGTGAAACCCCGTCTCTACTAAAAATACAAAAAATTAGCTGGGCATGGTGGCGCGTGCCTGTAATCCCAGCTACTCAGGAGGCTGAGGCAGGAGAATTGCCTGAACCCAGGAGGCGGAGGTTGCGGTGAGCCGAGATCGCACCATTGCACTCCAGCCTGGGCAACAAGAGCGAAACTCCGTCTCAAAGAAAAAAAAAAAAAAAAAAAAAAAAAACATTGCCCCTTTCAACAAATTTTGGATTTCATAATATATTTCAGTACTCTTGTTGATTTATTTTAGGTTAAACTGTTAAAGAATGAACATTTCAGAAGTGTTGATATTGATCAGTGTTTTTGCTTACATACAGCTAGTGCTCGACTTACGACCACGATTGGGACCGGCAGACAGGTCGTAACACGATTTGGTCGTGAGTCGAGTAGGCTATATGTACAGTTGAAATGGTGCATGCGGAGATGGTAGTGCTGCCAGAAGCTGGTCCGCACTGTCGTATGCCCAGCTGGGCAACGTTTGTGCTGCCAGACGCGGAGCAGTCGTGGCTAGCAATTGTGGTCGTAAAGTCAAATGGTCATAAGTTGCATAGGTCATAAGTCGATCAATACCTGTATATGAATCACTTGCCAAAGATACTGGCATTTAGCAAGCTCTCCTCAGCTGTAACCAGTATGTCGAATATGAAGATTATTGTGTGGGATCCTTTGGTTTCATTGTTATGTTGTATTTTATAAATGTACTAATTATATCCTTGTTTATGTATTTTTGCTGATCTTTCATAAAGCAAAAGTTTTGTTTTAATGGAATATATTGGATTGTATTCAATGTTGCAAAATCAATATTCTATAGCGAATGAAAAAAATAAAGGATTAAATTAACTGGAGATTTTTGGTACTCTTATAAAGCAAAATTGTTTGTTATACAGACAGATGAAATAAGAAAATAATGTAATCTTTCTGTAAGATAGATACACCTTTGTTTACCAAACCAGTAACTTGCCTCTCATATAAGCCAATTTTATTTGTTTTCAGAGAAGAGATCTTATAATGTATACCAAGTTTAAATTCATGATGCTAAAGAAAATTTTGCCAGAGGACTCTTTTTTTTTTTTTTTTCTTAATGGCAAAATAAGCAGCTCTTCAGTAGAGAGTTCACCTCTTTTGAGCACATCCTTGCTATACAGATATTATCTGGCAGATATGTATGCCTGTGCTTTGTAGTATTTCTTTTAGAAAATGTATATTATTACACTTTTTGCTCAGTGGTACACTGTAGCCTAAGGCCATAGGAAATTTCAACTTATCTTCTCCTATTATTTTCTACATCACTTTAGAAATCTAGGTATTAGTGCCTTTTCTTTTTCTTTGTCATTTAGCAACATGTAGTGAGTGGTCGCTCTGTCCAAAGTGCTGTGGACTCTGAGCCACCATGCAAAGATGAATAAGAACAGCTCCTTGTTTAAACATGCGCCCATCCAGGTTGCCTTTTCTATTCAATCTATCACAGAAAGATTGAGTAGAAAGTTACCAAAGTCACCCCCATGTGGAAGTATTTCTTTACATCCATTAGAATGATAACCATAAGCGCTGACGTCTCTTGAGCTCCTACCATGTGCTAGCCATGATTCTAGACTCTTGACACATATTAACTCACAACAGCCCTATGAGGGAGGTGCTCTTGTTATCTCATTTTACAGACAAGGAGACGGAGGCATAGAGGGGGTAGATAAGATGCTTATTGGTAGATGGCAGAAATGGAACTCAAACTCCGGCAGTCTTGCTAATGAAAGCCCTCCTAGGTTTATTCTTTTGGGTCTCTAAGTCTTGCTTCTCTTCAGGAGCCTTCCAGTAAAATGTCACCACCAACTAGCCCTTTATTTGTTAATAATTGTTCACAAATAAGTTTCAGATACTTTGAGGCAGAGGCACTAGCTGAGCACGGGACCTGTGAGACAAATGGGTGTGGTGGAAGCATATGTGTTTTGGGGGAAGGCCTGGGAGAGTAGGTAGAGCAATGGGAAGTTGCAGTTAGAAGGATGAGAAAAGCACCGAAAAGAAAACTAAGCAAATGCCAAAAAAATCTCACTCTAGAGTTTTGCCTGGGACTTACTATGTGCCATGTTTGATTCTTGAACTAAAAACATAATAATAATTTCTTGAGCCCAGGAAGTTTGAAACCAGCCTGGGCAACATGGTGAAACCCCTTCTCTACAAAAAAACACAAAAAGTAGCCAGGCATGGTAGCACATACCTGTAGCCCCAGCTACTCGGAGGCTGAGGTGAGAGGATCTGACAGAGTGAGACCCTGTCTCAAGAAAAAAAGAAAAGTAAAGACTCAAAGTTACCCTAGGGTGGGGAGAATGACACAAAAAAGCATGACAGAAACCTGAGTGGTGGCTACAGTGTTTGACATGCAATTATTTGTACACATAGCTCACAGATTGGAAGATAGGCAAACATGGGTCAAACTCAGATATTCAGATGGTGCAAATGAAAAATTTAAATCCCAGCTACGTGAAGTTAGAAACACCTAAACCAAAACAACATAGCAAAGTTGAAATAAAGAGATGGAAAGAGACCATACAAATGCTACAAAAAGGAAAGCAGGAATAGCAATGTTGGTATCTAATAAAACGGAGTTAAAGGCAAAAATAATTTTAAAGGATATCTCATAAAAAGGAAGAGCTCACCAAAAAAGTCCAGTAATCACGAACTTTATGTCCCTAACAACATAACTGGGAACTACATGGAGCAAAGCAAATAGAAATACAATGAAAAAAATTGACAAAGCCATAACCGTAGTTGCTGACTTAGAAATCACCAAGTCAAGTAGAAGGTAAGAACAGATGTAGAGGATTTGGTGGCATAATTAACAGGTTTGATGTATATAGAGAGAACTTTTTTGTTTCTTTTCAAATGCAAATGAATGATCATTAGAATTTTGTCTCAAAGGAAATTTCTGCAAATTCCAAAAAGATAAATTTTACAAGCGGCACTCACTGTACACAATGATAAGTAAATATATAAACCAAAAAAGGTAGAATATAAAAAAGCTAACGACACTGGGTGAGGTGGCTCATGCCTGTAATCCCAGCACTCGGCCTTCTTTGGGAGACTGAGGCAGGCGGATCGCCTGAGGTTAGGAGTTCGAGACCAGCCTGGCCAACATGGTGAAACCCCGTCTCTACTAAAAATACAAAAATTAGC